TTGGTGAAAGGAGTTGCTTATGACTCCCTACATGTTGAAGTAAAAAGGACTAGTACAGACATCAGAGAGGGGGTTGGGGACTTCACTATTTAGTTCAATACAGAAACCCAGGAAATCCCCCAAAAATGCTAGGTGTCACCCTCAAAAAGAAAAACTACAATGACTCAACAGAAGAAAATAAGTGTGAGATTGCATCTGCCCCCACATTAATCATTTATCTTTGTAGACCATTCTGATGTGAGGGACATTTAGAATATCTCCTTGCAGCAGATAAAGGAGAGCAGGTGGAGGGTTGACAGCAACTTCAGTCTCATTAGAGTGTGATCCAAGTTGGGCCAACAAGTTTGCAGGCTGGTTACCTTACCTATAAATGAAAGTGAACTGAATTTTTATCTTGCTGGTGAGATCTCTGATTTTGCTTATCCAGTATGAGTAGTGCCAGGGAGTCTCCTCTTTTTTATTTAAAGGGGGAATAATCACGACAGAATCCACTTCCAACCAAATTCTATTCCAATTAGCCTTAGTGGCAAGTTTGATTGCCCAATACACAGCAATGAGTTCAGTTTCAATGGCATCAGTGGCCAGGACTGGGGTATAAAAGTACAACAAGCACTTACCCAAATGATTTCTATAGATACCTCCCACACCAGCTCCATTTTTAGTAAAGCTTCCATCAGTGTTAATCTTTACAATAGGATGATTTGGGGTTTTCCAGTAGACTCTAATGACTTAAATAAGATCAGACTTAATGGATGTATAAGAGTTAGAAATGTTAGGAAATCCTTTCCAATTAATCATCTTATGCAAATAAGTTACACAATTTCTAGCAGTAATCCCCACATTTGGATTTGCTTCTTCAAATTTGACCTTCTTTCTTTCCATCCAGATGAACCAAGCAATGGTGAAAGGGATAGCAGCATACTTTCTTATCTTCCAGTGCCACCAGCAATTGACTAGCCTATCCCAAGTGAGCTCTTTCTGATCAATTGTCAACTGATTTAAGAACTATTTCCATACCTGTTGAGCAAAGTCACATTCAAAGAATAAATGATTCAGAGTTTCCTCTTCCTTCTTACATAACCAGCATTTAGAGGGACCCCTCAATCCCTTCAGCTTTAGAATGTCATCAGTAGAAATCATTTTATGGAATATTCTCCAATAGCAAAAGGACATAGAAGGGGATAGAAATTTATTCCATAAATGATCACCCCAGGGTGTTTGCTCCCAACAGAAATTTTAGAATATATGGCTTTGGTGAGGCTTTGGTGGGAAGTAGTCTGCCATAAGATTTTGTAAGCAATATTTCTGTTAAAATTTATACTGGCCACTTTGGTAATAGAGTGAGGTTGCAGAAGACTTACTAACTTACCCAGGGACCAATTATCACCATCCCAACAATCAACCACTTTCAATTCACTATTATAGATATTGGTGATGGGGGAGAGCCAGTCTTTGGGACACCAATTGTCAAGTCAAAACTTGATTTCCCCATTTCCCAGCTCCCAACTGTAGTTGGTTTCAGCAAGTTGTCTGATTTTCAGCATTTTCACCCAAATTCTAGAATCACCAATTTTCCTTAGGACCAGTGTAGGGTGTTGATCTTTGCAATACTTACCCCACATGAATTTTGCCCACAGTGAATTTTGAGTCCTAAAATTAATCTAGAGTTTACAGAAATTGACTTGAAGGAGTTGATTAAGGTCCTTAAAGCCAATTCCCCCAGCAATTTGAGGTTTAGCTGCTTTCCTCCAGGAAGCCCAATGCATTTGTTGTCTTTGACCAGACTACAGGAATTTATTAAACAGTCTCTCCAGCTGTATTTGAGTGCTTTTCTTTATAGTAGTCATCTGAAATATATAAGCTGGGAAGGTAGTGATTATGTTCTTTAACAAGGTAATTCTTCCCCCATTAGACAGGAAGGTCTGTGTCCACCCATTGAGAAGGTTAGATATTTTATT